CCAGAGAATCGGTAGACTTGAGTGTGGAATGTCAAGTTCATAAAAAAGACCTTGAAGCCATATCGACTTAGATTTGTTAGTGTCTTATATTCATTTTCGGTGGAGGATCAGGCAACTATTAGTTGTTTTTTGGAGACCCAGGAGATGAGATTATGTCTCATGTATATAGCATATGTTAGGAATATAATTATCATGCCCAAGATCCAATTATTCACGTAATATATTGAATACATTTTTATTTAATAATTTATTTTAATATATGGTAATAATATTTTTATTATCATATTTAATATCTTGTTATTTAATTTATATGATAAAATCTTTGATTAAACTTAGAAACTGTACATCAAGATGGAGATCTTGATAATAAGATTAAAATTTTCTTTTCATGATTTAATATAAAATGTTCTTAGTTGTTGGATCATCAAAATAGAACATTAATGATCCCGCAAGACTAATAGATATGTGATGGTCTCTATAAAATAAATATTAATCGATTTTATTAATTAAATCACATATATAAATGATGCATATAAAGATATAATCTTTGAACCGACCCAATTAAGAATTTTTAATAGTTAATATTATTTTAAATTGTTAATAAAATATTCTTTTAACATGATAAGATGTAAAAATTTTCTTTGACCTGATATTATCATAGTAATTAATAAATTATTTATCATACTTTGATTCTAAACACCTATAACCATAAAATTATAGTTATAAAAATATTTGGTGTAATTAAATACTTGTAAAATTAGTGATTGATCAAGACGTAAACTGTCAATTTTGGTAATAATTTTAAATTTTATATTATCATTTATTATAACGACCATATTAAGATCTTGGTTAAAGTGATTGAATGAAAGAAGAAAAAAGTTTCTTATATCATATATTAATTAATTATAATTGATATAAAACATAGTTGATTATCTATTGGGATTTGACAGTTAAACTATATCTTAGAGTTAACCTGAAGCAATAATGATGGAAAAAAATATTACATTATTTTTTAACAGGTTTTTAAAAGTAATTGTACACTTCAAACTGTTCAATTGTTAAGAAGTGTTGTTAGTCGCCAATCTTGATTAGTAAATTGATTTGATTAATTTGTTACTAGTTTAATATTGAATTTATGAGGTTGCACATTAACGGATGTTCTGAATTTTAGTAAATATATTAATTATTTTAATAATTTGATAATTAAATTAGAGAATTTAATTTAATTACATAAATAATTTTTTTTTATCTAAATAAAATTATTATATTTTTTAGTAGTATATAATTAATATTGGAGATAAATTAAAATTTTTTATTTTAGAAATAAAAAATTAATATTTATATTTTTTGATTATTATATTATTAATATAATGATATAATATGAGATATATATATATATACATAATTTTTGGTAGCTGTTGACAAACTGGGGCAGCTACAATATATATATATATATGTATGAAACATATATATAATCTTTGGCGGCTGCTGAAAAATTAGAGCAGCCGCAATATATATATAAATATATGAGATATATATATATATATAATCTTTACGGCTGCTGCAAAACTTAGGGCGCAACAAATATATATATAAGAGATATATATATAATATGGATTAAAAAGACTGTGCTGTAGCCTCTGCTCTGCTGCTGCCGAAATATATATATATATCAGATATGTAACACCCACAAATTTTTTTGTGGTGATTAAATAATTAATAAATATAAATTTTATTATTTTATTTTATTTTAATGTATTTTGTTTTATTTAATTTAGAGTAAAAAATAAAATAAAATTGAAGGAGGATTTAATTAAAAATAATTTTGAGAAAAAT